TCTTTCTCTTTCTCTTTCTCTATCTCTTTCTCTCTCTCCCCCCATACTTCCCTCCCCCGGGGCTTACTGCTGCTGCTGCTGTGGTGGGAACAAGAAGAGCCTCGGCTCCGTGCTGCTCTGTTCTGCTCTTTATAATGGCAAATGAGACTAAATTGTTGTCTTCCTGTCATACACACACATACAAGTCACACACACACACACACGTTTACAGAGGAAGGGGGCTGAAATTAGGCTGTCAGCCTGTGGAGAACCATCATTCCGTCATACCAGCATGTTCCCGCTCTTTTCTACCTCTGACATCACAAACACCCCTTCCCTTTCACTTTTTCCTGACTCGCTTGCGCCCGACTCCTGGCTTGAGGCAAAACTAACATCAACATGGCAAATAATAAACCACTCAGTCTCCACATGCTGCTTTAGAACAGCATCTGTTTGTGCTCATTAACCTGACTTGTATATATGATTCAGTTTCCCATTCACTCACTCACTTGGCTCTTCGTTTGCTCACTCGCTCAATCACTTAGCTAATATAGTGTCTTCCACTTACTCCATCTTTCACTCTCTTTTCACGTTTAGCTCCACCAGTCACTCATCAACAGCGCTCTCTATACCTCCTCACTCTCTCTTTTTTAGTTTTTAGTCTATGTTAAATGCACTACAGTTTTATTTCATGACAAAGTCTTTCTTGGCACAACTTAAAAAGAGCCTTTTTTCTTCCCTGTGGATGTTATTATGAAGTTCTCCTCCAGCCTTGATCGCTCCGTCACTGGAGACAAGAGGGAAGTAAAGTGGGACGGCTGGCTGGCTTAAAAAGCTGTTGAGTCGCTTAACTCACCGACTGGTTGAATGACCGAGGGGGCTGACTGGGTGGCAGGAGGTTAATATACCAGTCGGCTGGTTGACTGACTGAAAGGCTGTCAGTGTGGATGAAAAGGCCAGTTGTCTGTCTGGTTAAAGTTGACATATTCAAAGTAGAAGAGCCCCCCGGGTTTCCATCAGAAAGCCCCACTAGAGCTCTGGCATCAGCCGCTGTGCACATGTGTGTACAGTTCAAACACATTGACATACAGACCTTCCCTTTCTTCTTTTCCTCTGCCAGCTTCTTCTCTCTGTGTTTATCATGTGCTCCATCTGCCTGCAGTATCTGCCATGCCTGACCGAGGGTGTGTATATTATCCTGTGCATGGCCCAGGACAATCAATCCCATAGAATATTGTGGTCCATTTGGCGTGTGTGTGTGATTGTGAACGTGTGTACGTGTGTTGATGTACTGTTGTGACTTGTGCTAGGGGTTAGAGGGCTGAGCGTGTCTCAGCATTAATCAGGCTTGACCACTGAATGGTGGCCTTATGTCTAAACATACTCAAACATAATCACACACATACATTCATACGTATAATCAATCCTGAAATCTGATTTTTGCTCAATAAATAAAAAAAAATAAAAAAAAATACAAAGTTTGTTTGTATCCCTACATAACATTTTAAGGTGAATTGTCAGCAGTAATAATACAAACATTTGACATTGAGTAAGCTTATAAATATGTGATACTGCCTCACGGTTTCTCTCTCTGTTGTTTTCTCTCCATGCAAGTGAAAACATTTTCCAGCAGTCCCTAACATTTTCCAGCAGACTAACTTTGATGCTGTAAAATGACTAAGCTAAATGATTTCAAATGTCCTCACAGTTTTACAATTGCTGTCAAACTGAAGTAAACCACACCATCAAATATCCCTAAATAAATGGAAAACAAGTTACATATTTTTTGCTCCTTTTTAATAATGTCATATAAACAACACATTACTACATGTGTATGTGCGTGTTTGTGTTTGCAGGTGGACAGCGACACCATTTGGAACGAGGTCCATTCGTCCAGTGCGGCTCGTCTGGCCGTCGGCTCCGTGGTGGAGCTTGTCTTCAAAGTAGCATCGGCAGAACTGAAGGTTAGTTCGGATGCTTTGTTGAACGAGCACCAAAGTCACGTCTGGACTTTATTTTTAGTGACTAGAATGACTAAAGGATGTTGTGCATTTGTCATGTCTGTGTGGCCTTTTATATGTTGGTAAATCTGTGTGTGCATTTAATAACTTTTAAGATGGAGCCAACATGAAACAAAGCTCAGATGGACTTCACAAAAATAAATCCATGACTACAACTTTGTTTTATTTTAGTCTATTATTTTAGTCAGGTTTGACTGCCTTGTTCCATTTTCCAGCTGAGTTACATTTCAGACGGAGAGAACGAGGCAGAGAATGGGTGGATGTACTGTCTAATAGTAGCTGTATTATCCATTCACACCTCTAAACACCTTGAGAAAAGAGAAACCTCCATCCAGATCCTTCCATCCCCATGGTCTCGTTAGCACCTCGCAGACAGACATCCCAACCCCCGTCATGCTTTGCCCACCAGCCAGCCTTCCTGTGTCTGTGGCAATGGCTGCTTACTGTTTGAACCCAGCAGGGAGGCCCGGCGCACTGGCACTGCAAATGCCAAAAGTCCCCACTAACAGGCCTGTTTTATTAGTGTTACACCACAGCCACCTGCAGAGCAGCCGTCGCACTTAGTGTTAGCTGTGCTAACATTTAGTACCTCTTCTACATGCGGGCATAATTACAATGAAGAAATAATGGTCTGTTTTTTTTTTTTGTATAGTACATTGTGTGACTGGTAATATCAGAGTTTAAAAGGAAAATCAAATGTATCACACAAAATTGCTAAACTTACCTGAAAAATGAATTATATGGACTTTCTTCAGCTAGGGTTAAAGTTCACAGGTATTGACTTGCCCTCAGCTTAACCCGATCTTAACACATACATGCACATGTGTACACACACTCATGCAACATATTTTCACATGCATGCTTACACACATACAGATGGTCCTTTGAGGATCCTCCACAACCAAATGACCAAATTCCACCTGCACCAACTCTCTGAACTCCACAGAATGCCATAAATCTACTCACACACGTCTGTCTCTGCAGCTGTTGCTTTCTTTTTCTCTCCCCATGTCTATTTTAATCCCTTGTTATTTTTCCTCTGCATAGAGAAACAATCCACCTTCCCCTTGCCTCTCATACACCTACGTACATACTGTATTATGCAGCCTGCTTTAACCGAGTGTCTTCAAACCAGCTGAGGCAGTTGTCTCTACAGTAAACTCCCGGCTGGCTGCTAATCCACAGCAGCTGACTCAACATCATTAGTCCAGCCTGCCTCGCTCTACATCAGCCCGAACATCTATCTAATGTCCCCTCATAGCAGTGGGAACCCCAAAAACAGTTGCTGCGAGTCCCGCCGGTCCCTGCCTTAACAAAGCTCCCCTTAACTGACCCGGTGCAAGCATCTGTTTCTGTGTGTGCGTATGCGCACGCTTTTGACCTACTCTGCCTGTAAGAAACCATTTTAGATCTTTAACTGAGGCCGGTGACATTTTTTTTTTTTAGAAATAGTGGTGAGACGATTAGGTTTGGTATCGATCAACACACATTGTAGAAGTGAGTAATTTCTCTTTTAATCTATGTATTTATGTCATTATGTATTTATGGTGTTATTATTACACAACATAATCTGAACACCAAGGGGGCTGGTAGCTGTGCAAAAGCAAGGAGCATTTTTTAACATCATCTGATCCCTCAGTCTCTCAAAGAAACGGTGTCATTAGAGTAAAGTGAGCAGGTTTAAGGTAACATAAAAGCAACTCCATGGACCTATGGTTTATTTGCAGTAACTGTTTGAAATATTCTTTGTGTGAATGATTTTGTTTTTTCCTGACAGAATGGTTTTGCTGTAGTTCGACCACCTGGACACCACGCTGAGGAGAGTACGCCTATGTAAGTAAATTGGAAACTTGACCAAAAGAAAGATCAGATGTCATAGGAATTTAATCAGAAATGTATCCATGCCTAATTTCCCCCTTAACTTCAATTCTTAAGAACATACATTTTCCTTATATTTCCTCCTTTGTCACTGCTTTAAAACACGTTGTTAGACTCATCTTTTTAGACAACTTGCATTCTGTGTTGTAATATTCCTGTGTATATATGTACTTATTAATATGTTGTTCTTTGAAATATACTTTAATGTGATGACTTTATTTAAATAAAGTATTGCTTACACTTTCAGAAAGTAAATAACACTGTCTTGTTACTGTCTGTTTGTCCATTTTCAGGGGGTTCTGTTACTTCAACTCAGTCGCCATAGCAGCCAAGCTCCTGCAGCAGAGGCTCAATGTCAGTAAAATCCTCATTGTGGACTGGGTGAGTTTCACATACAACACAGTGTTACCATCTACTTGGAGAACCTGTGCACAGGTGTACTGCCCCCTCCAAAAATGAATTGCTGGTTTCCCATCAAATGTAACCCTACGTGAATAAATCACAATGTTTTGGTGACATTCTTACCATTTTTTCTTATAGTTGCATTGACCACCAGGTCCACAACAGTTCAAAACTACAATTGCATTATTAGAACAGTGCAACAGCCACTGTACTTCTTATGAGAGGGAGAAAAGTGCCTAAAATATTGTCTATTTAGGTCAGACACGATTTTTTTTTTTTTTTTTTTAAACAAAGTAATTTATAAGAAGGTATGACCAAGCCCTGGTTGTGTCTAGAAGCAATGCTCTTCAGCGGCGTACTTGACTGGTCATGGCCATTCCCAAAAGCCTTTGAAGGGCCTTTTCATTTCCTCTCTGTCTGTCACAGGGGGACTTTTAGTGCAGCTAGCAAACTCATTGTCATGCCACTGTGCCTCCAGCTAGCAGGGCCATTTTTAGGATCAGTGTATTAAAGCATTCTTGGGATATAGACAATGAGGTCATTTAATTGATGTTGTGAAGTTGAGTGTTTTATTGAATCCTGCTGACCATCCCTTTTTGACATCACAACAGACCGTAGCTGAGACGCAGACTAGACTGTCTGGCAGTATTGCAATCTCAGAGTGTCATTCAGTTGGCCTTAGAGCAGGTGCAGCAGTTGATAGTTCTGTCTCTGTCTCATTGACTTTCCAAATCATCCGATGTCTTTATGGTGACAAGACAGAAGCTGTCTTGTCATCTGTGTTAAGTGTTTAATTGATTGTTTGAGCTACAAGAGTCAAAGGCTAATTAGGCTGAGACTGTTCTTATTTATTTTCTTAAGGGAGTAATCACTAATTTTTCCTTACTCTGTATAGAGTAGAGTTTACCCTAACCTTTTTGATGTTTCCAGGATGTTCACCATGGAAATGGTACCCAGCAGGCCTTCTACACAGACCCCAGTGTTCTCTACCTGTCACTGCATCGCTACGATGATGGGAACTTCTTCCCTGGCAGTGGAGCACCTGACGAGGTGGGAAGTAAAACCAGTCTGTCTCTCTGACTTCCTCTTTGTCTGAATTTAAGCAAAGTAACCCAGTCATGCATGTGCGTGTGTTGTAGGTGGGCAGTGGAGCAGGTGTAGGCTTCAATGTGAACATGGCCTTTACTGGAGGAATAGAACCTCCCATGGGTGATGCAGAGTACCTGGCTGCATTTAGGTAAGACATGATATCATCTGCTACTTCAGAGACAATCTGTGATTGAATGGTCTTAGTTCCTTGTGATGCTATGCAGTGCACGGTTTGACATATGATGTATTGTTGAGAAGGTAGGGGGCTCCCCCCCTTGTGTCAAGCCTGATTTCTATTAGATCCACTTTCTGGGGCTATTTATAACTTCCCATACACACACACACCATCACACATGTAAAACATACACACGTACAGGCATGGATTCACCACAGACATGTACATGTCTCATACACATTTCTGGTTCATACAGCTGGTGAGGAGCAGGTCTGGACTGGTTCCAGCACTCTTTGAAGATTAACCCATGTTTGCGACCGTGTGTCCATCTGGCCTGAGCCAAACACATCAAACCGACAGGCCACTGTCTTCTCGCAGCTTTCGGCACGCAAGCCCCCGGAAGCACACCTTACCCTGTTAATGCACCCCAGACCCTTGTGTTCTCCCTCTCTCCATTTTTTATTATTTTGTCCCTCCTGATCCTCCTCTTTCTACCCTTGTGCACTGATGAAAACCCCCTAATAATATATCGTACTATAGACATTATATATGTTATAATCCATAGCCAGCATTCGTAAGTATGCTAAACACATAAGTTATATATAAGATATTATTTGTATTCATATACATCATTACACAAAAAAAGAGTATTATTCACATATATGAAATCCCACTGACCAGTAAAACATGTAAAAGCTTATAACGGTGTACAGTATCTATAACCTGATGCACCAGATGGTTTGTTACACAGAACCATCTCGGAAGTGGACCTTGGATACTGTCTGGAAAAGGGCAGGCACTTTGCATATAATATTTGACAGGTAGTTGGATGATACATATTTCTATCAATATCACAGGCTTATTTAAACCAATCCAATCAACAAACCAGTAAGCCAGTTGGGAGAAAAGTGAAAACTTTCCATCTGTTCTTTGCTTTTTCAATGAAGAAATATTCTCTAGTTCTGATATAACTGATGGTATAACAGCATCAATACTAACCTTTTTTAGAGCCACCATTGTTGTTTCTGAACCAAAACAATACTGCAGTGTTGCAGAAGTACCTCAGAAAAAACATTATTATTAACCGGTACAAACTTAAGAAGAGTTAAGAATAACACATTTATATATGTTGTTTATCAAGCAGTACTCTAGCAATTTAGTATTGGACTTCTATAAAGGTAGTGGACTGAGAAGAGACAGAAGACTGGTCGAAATTGATGCAGCAGAGAGATATCCTGCTGTTTAGTCCACATGTGGATCACACTACAAACAACACAGGATCCTGCAATAATTCCCATAATGCAGCTCAATAACATTTTTCATTAGACACTTAATGCCTTCTTAATTCCCACTTCTTTCCAACACCACACTTCCAGTTTTTAAAGCAGGCTTTTTTGCAGAAATCTAAGTTCCTCTTTGTTGGAGAGGTTCCATCTGTATTTGAGCCAATGCAATGCATTGCATGCAAAATATGCAGTGCATATTTGAGTTAATCAGTAATGCACTGTCCTTCAGTTAAACCAGTCCACTCTGTTAACATTAAACTCTGTTTAAAAACTGGAACCACTTTGTTATACAGTAGTTTTGGTATGTGTATGTTAGTTCAGGGCTGCATGCATCCATATGAGTGAACATGCATGTAGAGAGGCGTGTACTGTGTTTGTGTGTTCTGTTTATGTAATTGTAGGTTATTAAATCAGAGTTATTTACAATATGGAAGAGGTCCAAAGATATAAAGTGGAGAACAAGAGTTTGGGTGTGTATCACCTCAGACCCTGGTGCCATTAATCCCCCGAGGCTGTCGCAGTATTGGACGATTCATAGGCCCCAGAGGACAGCAGGAAACCTGTCTCACAGCTCATAGATCTACCACACACGCACATGCTTGTACACATGTACACTCAAAGTAACACAGTTACAGATGCTGGATAGTGATTTGTCATGTACATACAAATGCACATGCTGCACACAGGCTCATTACAATGCAGAAGGACCTGGCTCAAACTTACATCAAGGTGCATTGATATGCACAAAAACATGGAGGACCAGACATACAAATGCTCACACCTGCAGCTTTTACATTGAATGTGGTTACACATTTATAACCGCATGCAGACAGCATCTCTCTCTCCCTTTCAATTTCATTGTTTATCTGTATGTTGTGGTCCTCTCCTTCCTCCCACTCTGTCTTTGGGAAGGGATGCGTGCCTTGCAGCCGCCACCTTCCCATTCCTCCGCTGGCCTGTGCCACGTTGCATTTGCAGGGGATCAAATCTGAGCCTCCAAAAAGCACAGAGAAAAAAGATAAGAAAATTGGCCCTAATGAAAACCAGAAGCACCGTCTCTCTCTTTCTCTCTCTCT